CCCCCACCCCCGACCGGGGCGCGCCCTTACCTGTCCGCGGGGGCCGCCAGGCCGCCGAGCAGCGAGAACGGGCCGAGCCAGCCCCAGAAGCCGCTGTCCGCGCGCCGCAGCAGCGCCACCTGCTGGGTGCTGGACTCCTGGCGCAGCGGGCAGTAGGACACGGAGCCCCGCTCGCGGCCCTCGCCGCCCTCCGCCTCCCGGCTCGGCGCCTCGCCCTCCGCCCCGCTCTGCTCCCGCGGCCTCGCCGCCGCCGCCTCCTCGTCCTCCTCGTCCTCCTCTTCCCCCGACCCCTCCTCTGCGGCAGCCTCCGCCTCGCTGGCCGGCGGCTCGGCCGGCTCCTTCTTCCACAAGGGGGTCTTCACTCCTGCGGGGCGGGGGGAGGGGGGAGGTCAGCGCAGGCCCGCTGTCCCCGGGGAAGAGCCGGGCACCCTGACTGCTGTCCACAACCCGACACCCAAAAAAACCGCAGGCGCCTGAAGGACAGTGTGCACGGGCTGCACCGGGCGAGACAGGGCCGCCGGGCTGCACCCCATTTCCCAGGTTTCTACTCTTCCTCGCTGAGGATTCGGGGCAGGTCACGTCGCTTCTGTCAAGCTCCGTGTCCCCATCTGGAAAAAATAGTGTTCCTGTCCAGGGCGACTGTGAGGCGGGGAGCAGGTTGCGACACACACCACCACCACCACCACCATGGGCAGACCAGTTAGGAAAAGGCTGCCCTAAGAGTGAGCCAGTTAGAAAAAGGTGTCTCCTCTTCCTTCCAGGCTTGACCCCAATTGCCAGCTGGATTTCAGCCCCCAGTGTCCCTCTGGCGGGTGCCTTTATGGAGAGCACAAATTTCATAACTCGTAACAGTAATCCTGGCAGGCAGGACGTTGCCGGGCTGCCATGGGAAGTAACCTGGCCTCTCCTGGTAGGAGTCCATCATTCGGCAACCTTCCTCCCTCCCCCCGGCACCACCATGTGTCTGTCCTGCTCTCTGCTGGATCTGGGGAGCTAGACTTCCAAAGAAAAGCAGGTGGATGAGGCCAGGGAAGACACCACAGTGGTTTGCAGTGGGAAGGTCAAGAGAATTCCTATTGGTCCCCGCCCATCCTGTTTAAAGAGGTTGGGGACAAAGGGGAATGACACAATTAGTGTTTTAGCTCACATGTATTGAGCACCAACTGTATGCAATCACTGTGCTAAATTCTTCACACATTGTGCCCCTTCACCTTCACAACCACCTCGGGTAGGGGCGAGGGAGGTAACCGAGGCCTCTGAATTTCATCTAAGACTTCCGAAACCTTTCCAAAAAAAGTTGTTTCAAAGATTCTGCCAGTTTTCGATGTTGCTGAAGCTGGAAAACCAGGGTCCGCTGCACTTTTCATTAGAAAACACACCAAGGAGTCTTTTGGTTGTGAAAGGCCAGACTTAGTGCACAGCCAGAAAGGGGTACTGGAACTTTTCGAGAGAAATGGGAATAGGAAATGAGGTTAGAAAGGAAGCTGGGACTTTGGGTGCCAGGCTATGGAGTTTGGACTTTGTCCTTCAGGGGTGGGGAGCCACTGAACTTTCCAATGGAGGGACATGCTCAGAGCTGTGTTTTAGGATGGTCTCCCTGCGGGACAGAGGGAGACCCACTTAGGCATCGTCACAGCGGTCCCGGCCAGAGAACACAAAGGTCCAAACAGCAGCAGGTGAAGATGAGGAAGCAGATGTCAAGAATATTCAGGGAAAAGAAAGAAGAGGGTTTGTACAAGTAACTGAGAAAAGGCTGAACTTCTTCTCTGGGGTCGCCATGGCGATGGGTGGGCTGGCCCACCCTGGGTTTGCATCCGCACTTGACAGGAGTCAGTGGTCCTGTCTTCCGTCCCCACCCTGCTTCCAGCCCCACTCACCGTGCTTATCCATTCTTCCTAAGGCTGTGCTGCCCTCTTCCCCTGATCAGGGACTGGGATGAGACAGAGTTCCCAGAACGCATAGAACTTTGTCTGATCTCTAGGGCCCCTGTTGGATCACAAGGGGTGAGGCTAGAACTTCACCTGCCCTTAGGGTTCCACCCAGGAATAGCTGCCTTTTCTAGAGCCTCCAAGAGCACTTAAAACCCAGGTGTCCCTCCACCTTCCCTCTTGGCAAGGCATTAAAGGGGAGAAGGGGGCGGCTTTGGCCGCCAGTAGACTGGGTTCAAATCCCCGTTCCGCCACATAAATATAAGAGCTACGTGACCCTCAGCATGTTGTCTGACCCTCAGTCTCTTCATCTGTAAATTAGAGATAGTCACACAGTGCCAGACTTTACCTGGCTTACAGAAAGCACTCCAAGCATTATGTTTACTTGCATCATTACGTTCTCTCCTCCCCTTTCTGTCTTCTCTCTATCCTTCCTCACCCTGGCTCCCCACTCCACTTACTTCCAGCTCATTGCCTTAGCTCCAAGAAGCCGAGGAAATGCCTCTAAGTCCAGTAGAAAGCAGGGCCCAGGCAAGAGCTGGGTGTAGCTCCCGAATGTCATGTATGTGTGTGTGAGAATTGGGGCTGGGGGAGGGGATACTTGGGAGAACTCTTTATTTTCCGGGCCTTCAGAGTGGCCTGTGTTGGCAGAGACAGGAGTAGGCAGAGGGATTAGAGGATGCAAACCCAGCTCTGGAGAGCCTCAGTCTGACAGGAGAAAATGTCTTGGTTTCCATCCAAGTGTGAGGAGTGGGGTCTCTTCCTCAGGCATCTCCCAGTTTAGTGGACGTCAGTAGGTAGGATGTAGAACAGCTCTTGGGAAACTCCTAGTCCCATGGGGGCCACCCTGTCAAGAACTGGGAAGGATCTGAAGCTTTACTCTTGCATGCTAGCAAGTTCGCTTGCCGGGGCGTCATGGGTGTGCCAAAAAACCTGAGACTCCTAGGTCAGACAAAGGCCTGGATTCCTCATGGTACAGCAGCAGCAGTCTATTCCTGTCAACACAGCCTGTCCCTTGTCCCCTGGGTGCCACGGGGATGGGCCCGTGAATGCCTGCACGTGCGGGGGTTTGCATTACCAGAGAAGCTCTGAGCTTAGGAGCACAAATCTTTTATAATGGGCAGCAAACAAACCTGCTCTTTGCTCCAGAAAGAGATGCAATCACTATCCTCCAAGGTTGTTCACTCTATTAAACACCCTTGAAAAGTCGGTGCCATTTGTGAGACAAGCAGAAATGCAAAAGGCCCATGGAGAATTGTCTCCCAGGAAACCCATTCTCCTTACATTTACTAAAAGAGCTTAGAGTCACTGTGGCTCTGGATGGCAAAATCCTAAAGCTCACTCTGGCTAATTTAAAGAGAAAGAATAGTGGGAGCTCGCAGAATGGCCAGAAGCCTTGGCAACTGGACAGGAACTATAGAAGGATTGTGAACACAGCCAAGATCACACCACAGGAACGATCCAGTTGAGAAGCCACTGTGGGGACCACCCCTGGTCACTGGCACTAGGAACAACCTTCTTGAGTCACTACCTAAGATTTAATGTCCCTGGCCAGGCCCATCCAAACCACTGAGCCTATGCTGTGGCTTTTAGGGAGCATCCTACCAAGAAGCACAAAACGGTGTTCCTCTGGTCTGGTCATTCATCTCATCCTGCCTCTCCCACTTCGATCTGCCCAGAAGCACTTTGTCATCCTTAGGGTGTTCATTCACTGTTGTTGTGTTTTGTTTTGTTTTGTTTTTTTCCCATTCACTCTTCTCAAGGGTATTTTGGGTTTTGTGGGAACTTCATAAAAAGTTGGGTTGTCATAACAAACCATAGCAGCATAAAGCCACATTGGAAATTGATCACAGAGTAGTAATAGGGTCTACAGTGAAAACACAAGAGCAGGTAATCCCCCACTACACCAGGAACAGAAGCATGCTTCCTGCTCTCAGATACCACCTTGGAAGACCCCTTGAAAGGGGAGAAATTGTACTGATAGTGAGTCTGAATTCAAACCTGACTGGAGCTGTGTCCAAAAGAAACTGCTTAAAACCAGAAGAGAATGAGCTGCATTTTATTGGCTAGCACAAGCATTATTTCTTGCACTCACAGAAATCTAGAGAACAAAATGAGATCAATTGTCAAAAGTAAAGCTGTAATTTTTTTTTAAAGATTTTATTTATTTATTTGAGAGAGAGAGAGAATGAGAGACAGAGAGCATGAGAGGGAGGAGGGTCAGAGGGAGAAGCAGACTCCCCGCCAAGCAGGGAGCCCGATGCGGGACTTGATCCCGGGACTCCAGGATCATGACCTGAGCGAAGGCAGTCGCCCAACCAACTGAGCCACCCAGGCGCCCTGTAATTTTTTTTTTTAAACGTAGTCTCCACGACCAGCATGAGCTTGAACTCACGACGCTGAGATCAAGACTTGATGCTTAACTGACTGAGCCACCCAGACGCCCCTAAAGCTATAATTTTTGTACTTTTTTGGATTTTAATGTGCAAATTAATAGTACGTATAGCCCATTAACTTGTAATAACCAGGTATAACACAGAGATGCTGTATTCATTTTAGTTGAGCAAAGGAGGTAAGTTACAAGAAGAAATATCCAATAAGGTGGTATGTAACGGCCACCCAAGTGGGAATATATATAACAAGACTTTCTATATATATATATATACAAGACTCTTCCCCTTTGAACATCATGTCCGTTAGGATGTATTTAGTTGGTGGAATATCAGAGTGCCCGACTAATAATGGCGTAAGCTTTATAAAATGTATTAGTTCACTTAAGAAGTCAGAAGTGGGGGGCTCCAGGATTGGTTCAGTGGCGTGATGCGGTTGTGAGGGACCCAGACATCTTTTCATCTTTCCCCTCTGCCTTCTGTGCCTCTCTTCTTGGTTGCAGAATGGCTGCTGCAGCTCCAGGCATCCTGGCCTGGTGCAATCATGACCAAAGCAGAAAGGCTCTGCAGGGCCGGGACTTCCCAGAAGCCCTCCAGCGGGCTTCTCTTTGAGCCTCAGTTGGCCAGAACTGAGGCACACACCCATCCCAAACCAACCATCTGAGAAAAGAAATGGGAGGGCCAAGATTGACCAGGCCTGGTTGTAATTGGTACCTTTGATCAAGTAGGACTCAGGGAGTATAGTTATAAAATAATCTCTTTTTTTTGCCTCCTATAGTCCCTTTAAACCTGCTCAAGGGGAAGCAAGCTTCCTTCCCTTGTCCCTGGAGGACAATTCAGACAGGCCTTTTGACTTGTTCAGAGAACTCTTAGGCCATGGAAGAGTGGTCACTGTGCTCCCTGAAAGTTGATATAATGTTACGTCTCCTCCCAGCTGGGGCCTGCCATGACCGGTGGCCACAATGTGATGGGGTGATGGGCAGAAGACATGGTCCTTCCTCCCTCTTCCTTCTCAGCTAGCCAACCCCTGGTGTTTGCCTTTCCTTCCCCAATCCAGGCAGTCCCTTGGGTCCAGGAGGCTACCCTGCAGGATTCTGGGGGTCACTCATCCCCCCCGCAGCCCTAGGAATCCGCTGGTCCACTGCCATCTTCCCCTCTACTGAGCCCTTTGCTGGCCGAGTGGCACGCAGGAAGCACTCAGCCATCCTCGGTTCCAACTACAAGAAGACCGCTGGCTGATTCCAGCACAGCCCTCTCCTTGGTCCCCAGCACGGAGCAGCCAGCCAGCCCCGAGTCTGCATTTCCGACTTCCCACACAGCAGTCAGACTTCAGTTCACTGAGTCTCCCTAGTGATTAGGGATAAACATCTAGTGCTTTGATTGGTCCCATTTAAGCCCCTCTCGCTGCTTCTCCCCTTGTTTTGGGGGAGAGATGGTGATAGGCATTAGTTCCCTGTTCCGGCTGTAACAAATTATCACCAATGTAGTGGCTTCAAACAACACACTTAAGGCGCCTGGGTGGCTCAGTCAGTTAAGCGTCTGCCTTCGGCTCAAGTCATGATCCCAGGGTCCTGGGATCAAGTCCTGCATCGGGCTCCCTGCTCCACAGGAAGCCTGCTTCTCCCTCTCCCTCTACTGCTCCCCCTGCTGGTGCTCTCCCGCTCTCTGTCAAATAAATAAATAAAATCTTAAAAAGAAAACACAGTTATTTTTTTGCAGTTCTGAAGGTCAGAAGTCTGAAATGAGTCTTTACAGGGATAAAATTGAGGTGTTGGCAGGGCTGGTTCTTTCTGGAGACTCCACGAGGAATCTGCTCCTTGCTTCTTCCAACTTCTAGAGGCTGCGGAGTGCCTGGCTTGTGGCCCCCTCAATCTCTGCTTCAACTGGCACATCTCCTACTTCTGCAGCCAGACCACCCTCCGCCCCACACTTGTGATTACATTTAAGGTCCACTTTGACAATCTGGATTCTCTGCACGGTCCCTTTGGCCCTCTAAGGTAACATTCACAGGTTCTGGGCAGGTCCTGGGCATTAGGATGCAGCTCTCTCTGGGGGCCATTCTGTGGCCTGCGACGCAGCTGCCATTCTCTTGACATACTCTAGTGGGAGAGAAATCCAAGTGTCAAGTGACCGCTTTTGGATAATGCCTCGATAAAGCGTGCATAGAGTCTCGTTCCTTTTTGGGTTTGCTGCATCTACTGCCGTCTTGGACCCTCGGCAGAAACTTCCATCTTAGCTCTGCCATGATTGCCTTGAACCTATCATGGCTCCTCTTCTGGGGCCGGGCCCACCTTCCCGCATTTAAAGGAAGTTCCACCTACTACCTGAACATAATGGGATTTTATTAGCACGCAAGAAAAAACAACTAGCTCTTCTGTACTGGGATCACAGCCTCTAGGAAGGCTCCCTGTGACCCCTGTCTCCTGGTATTCGTGTTCTCATGCAGTGCCCTCCCGCGTGAAATAAGGCCGACCCGGGTGGCCGACAGGATATTGCGGAAATGACAGTGTGACGTTCCAGGCTGGGTAATGAAGACACTGTGCCTTCTGTCTTGCTCTCTCCCCCTGGGGAAGACCAGCTGCCACTTCACCAGGACACCCAGTGAACCCTCTGGAGAGGTCCGTGGCGGGAGGAAGCGAGGCCTCCTGCCTGGAGGTTTTGCACTGGCTTTTCCCTCTGCCCGCATACCCTTCCCTGGGATACCTGCAGGGCTTGCTTCCTCATTTCCCTCAGGCCTCTGTTCAGATATCACCACGTCAGGGAGGCGTTCCCTCGACCACCTCACATAGAATGCCACACACTGCCCCGTCTCCCTTAGCGCTTTATTTTTCTCCCTGGTATTTATCACCATGTGACTCACTGTGGATTTATGTGTTTGGCACCTGTCACCCATCCCCCACTAACATGTATGTAGCCTCCGTGACGTCCAGCACCTCATCTGTTGCTCTCTCGTCGGGCCTGTGATGGCGCCTGGCACGCGGGAGCTACTTACAGTGCCGTGGCCGGGGTGAGGTCCTGCGGTTTTGACAGCCCACAGCTCGCTCTACAGGAATCCCGGGGTTAGAGTGGGGGATGGGGCAGGTTCTCAGAGAAAGTGGGGATCGTGGGGCATAAACAGGGCTGCTGGGAGAATCAGCAAGAGCTGGGACCCCCCCAGTCCTGAGTGTGCGTGTGTCCTGAAACTTCCCACCTACGTCATTCCCTTACTCCTCACAGCACCCCCAGAGGGGGACATGATTCCCATTTTATAGTTGAAGAAACTGAGGCGCAGAGAGGCGAGGTGCATATGAAGGTCACAGAGGGATACAGGGAAGGGGCCAGGGCTGAAGTCATCAGACTCTAGCACTGTGTCTCTTTCATCCTCACCTTACAGTGCTCGCTAAACGCCAAGGGGCTCGGCAACCCCTGGCCCTGCCTTTCTCCCTTACTCCCCGGAAGCCCCAGCCTTCAACCCAGGGAGAGAAGCCAGGCCCAGGCTTCCCTCCCTGCTCCGTCCCGGGGCGGGCTGTGCAGGGCAGTCCTTGGCTGGCTGCCTCGAATGGTTAAGGAGTGTTTGTAGCAGCTGTCTCCAAGGAGAGGTGGGGACAGCAGAGCGGAGAGGCTGATGCTGGGCTCCGCTGTCCACTGCTGACCGCTGGGGGGTGGGAGGCAGCCAGCGGGACCAGTCTAGTCCTGGGGGGGGGGGAGAGAGCAGTGTCCTCACCTCCATCTGTCCTGGGAGCTGGCGACCTCTGGGCCAACTGGGCAGCCCAAGAGTGAGGTCACTGCAGGGCCGGCAAGTAGGGAAAGTTCTGGCAGGCACTGAGGAATGTGGGGGGGCGGGGGCCGGGCTGAAGCCAGAGGCAAGTAGCAGAGCCGGAAGTCCTGGGCTCGCGGAGGGTAGAAGGGGCCGCCCTGAGTCAGGGAGAACAAGCCAAGGCCCAGCGGGCAGCAGGAGGACCTCCTCCCTGCTGAGGGTCCAACCATGCCCCGGCCTGGGGGACGTGGGAGGAGGCCTGGGAGCCTGGGGCCACCGGTGCATAGCATTCGGCCCTTTAAGTCCAGCGAGCAGTACCTGGAAGCCATGATGGAGGACCTGGCCGAGTGGCTTCGGGATCTCTACGGGCTGGACATCAACGCGGCCAACTTCCTGCAGGTCCTGGAGACAGGCTTGGTGCTGTGTCGGCATGCCAACACCATCACTGAGGCCGCCCTGGCCTTCCTGGCTGAGGCACCTGCCCGAGCCCAAAGGATCCCCCTGCCTCGGGCTGGGGTTTCCTGCAACGAGGCCGCCCAGCCGGGTACCTTCCAGGCCCGGGACAACGTCTCCAACTTCATCCAGTGGTGTCGAAAGGAGATGGGCGTCCAAGGTAACCACCCTGCACCCGCCTCCCCAGGCCCTTATCCTGCCAGAATCCACCTCCTCTCTAAGGCTTGGGCTGCGCTGGAAGTCAGGAGCCAGGGTCCTCTTTCCTCATTTCGCTTTGGGCCAGCTCATCGCTGTTTGTGCCTCAGTTTCCCCCATCACGTAGTAAATCTTCAATAAATAAATGTGTTGACTGAATGATTCATTCATTCAACAAACACACATTTAGTCCCTATCTCCTTTGTGCTGGGCACAAAGGACCAAGAGGACTGAGTCCCAGTGTCCAAAGAGTTCATGGTCTAGGAAGAGAGACAGATGAATAGATACACAAATTACAGCCCAATGTGCTCAAAGCCTCAAATAGAAGTGTATGTGTTGAGGAGCCAGGGGAGGAAATGGGTGGATAGTGGGGGCCAAGAAAGGCCTCTCAGAGGAGGAGGATTTGAACTGAGTCTTGGAGAACAAGTAGAAGTTTGGGGGAAAGGGAATTCTAAGCAGGGAACAGCAGGAGCAAAGGCACAGAGAAGGTGCTGTGTTTGGACGACTGGGAGAAGCCAGGGTGGGTGAGGGCATAGGGCTGGGGTGGGGGGAAGGACAGGGAGGCAGGCAAGTGGACATTAGGGAGGGGCCAGCTGTGCTGACGCTTGTGAGGCCCAGGGGAGTGACAGGCCAGGATCCCTCCTCTCCCAGGCCGTGGAGCCTGGCACCCACCCTGGTGCGGCTGGAGGAGGAGATGGCCTTGCGCCTGCCCCCCACCAGGGTCCCTCATCTCCTAGGCCTAGCGGGATGAAGCTGGATGTTGTGCCATCCTCCAGGTCAGAGGGGGTGGGGGCTGAGGTGGAGGGAGGAGTCAGGCCCACCTGCTGGAGGCTGGCAAGGCAGTGCGGAGCAGGACTGGAAGGCTGAGAAAAGCTAGTGTCTCATGGAGCACTTCCCATGTAGCCAGATCTTGTCCGCAGACACAGCAACCCCCGTGAAACAGTCTACATCCCACTTTACAGAGGAGGAGACTGAGGCTCAGGGACTAGCCCAAGGACACACGGCTGCTGGGTGGGAGAATCGGGACTCCAACTCGGGCAGTCAGGCTCCAGAGCCTGTACTCAACCTTGCCTGGTTATATGTGGGCTGAGGGTTGAGTTCCAGATGTCCGCTGGTATCGGAGGTGAGCTGTGTGGGTGGGAAGCAGAACAAACTGCTTCTTACTCCTAGACCCCTATATCCAAACGGAGTGGGGAGAAGGGCAAGGTGGAGCGCAACCCACAGCCGGGCTCTGGGCTTCTCAGCTTGGCTGTGTCACCTCTTCCCACCCCAACCTGTCTTGTTGGACTGGCCACCTACCATGCCCTGAGAGCCTGAACGATTCTGCTCAGACCCCTCCTAGGGGCCGGCCAGACCCCAAGATCCAGCGATCCGAGCCAGCCCCCTCCCTCCCACCCCCCG